TTTCAGCTCACAAAGTATTTGGGAGTGCTTTTACAAAGAAGCTTTGTCGCAGAGTTGCTCAAATCAGCCTGATGCTAGACGGAAAATTCAAGCTCCAGGAGAGATTTTTAGAGGTCTCATGGCATTGTGTTGCAAAGGAACCCAACTTCAGTTCCTTAACAGTGTTTGCTTTCCTGTCTATCAGTGGCTATATTTTATCCAAGTTTACTCTGGGCTTTATTGATAGATATGATTTCCTTAAAGTGCCAACACCAGTATTTCTCAAGAAATGACATCTAGGACTACTAGTTAAAGAAGTAAATACATCTTCACTGCCGTTTGAGAATATGAAGAATTTGTTGACCTGCAGCTTTCTCTATGAAATCTCCCTCATCTTCCAGTATAATTCAGAAACAGTTTCTCAAGCAGTTTTAGTAAAAAAACTGATCCCAAAATTGTTTTCTTTGGACACCTCTAGACTTCACCTGCAAACCAGTGGTGCCAATCCAAGGAGGGTGCTACTCCGAGGGGGACTGTCCGAGGGGGACCTCACCTTCATGCAAATCACAGTTACAGCAGTACTCTCCTCGCTTTTTGATTAATTGCAATGGTTCTAGTTTCTTATCAAGTCCCATCTGCTGTCTGTTTCCCAGGCAGCTTGGCCAAACTCAGTAACGAGTGGGACAGTTGAAATAAAAAGTTTTCTCAGTTACTTAAGTGGAAGGCAGAATATGATGTACACATGGCACGCGGCTGCCCGTAACGTGTAAAAATGCATTCAGGCTTGTAAAATAGAACTACTGTAGGGATGTTTTATCACTATAGAAGCCAGTCAGGATATCTGGCACAAAGCAAAAATTTCTTCTTTCCCAGCATTAGTAGTCCAAATGATGATCAGGCAATACAAATCTTGTCACTTCTTGCTAAGAGCAGCAGCTGGCTAACAAGATGACAGGCAACGTCACTGACCCTTCACCTCAGAAGGCCTTAACGCTCTTCAGCCTAAACAAGCTCCTCCTAGATGCTGAGATCTTGTGTGCCCTCACAGATGAGTCCACCCCTCAAATGCTGAGCACTCCTGTTTAATAAAAGTTTCTATGCACTTGAGCCTAGGACAGGAAGCTTCTCTCGACTTTGGCCATAGTCGAATCAGAAGCCTCATTCTAATTTCCATTCTCAAACTGATGGCTCTTTTCCAAGATCAAAGTATTTTCCCACACAGAGCCCAAGCCTGTCATCCAAATTCAATAAGCCCTTTACCTGCATAAGAATTGCACAATAACTTTGCTAGCAATATTAGTGATAATGTGGTGAAGTTACTGACTTACATGTCCTCAGACCAGTCATCACAGTATTTGCATTACCATTGTGTTACTTATCTGTGTGGTAATTAACTGGCTTTTGTAAAATGACTTCATCAAATAGTAAACATTATCCAGAGAAAAATCAGAATTAATGCCCTGTGACAGAGAGAACTAAATCACGGCAGAGGAAAGTCAAGTGCATCATACAAGGTCAGATGCTACTACAATCAAAACTAGAGCTCTGTTAGCTAAAATCCTGATCTGTGTCCTGCGCATTGATATGCTCTGCTTGGAGAAAAAAGCAGCAAGCTGTCTGTATGTGCAGAAACTACCATCAGGTGCTCTCCTTGCACTGGAACCACCTCCCACCCAGGTCTCCATGCAGTGCTGCCTGACCTGTTCCTACCCAACGGCTTTTGTTCTGCATGGAGGACAAACGTCTTTCACCTTTCTTCTAGCACTGCGTGCAGGAAGTAAATCTTAACTTGACTGCAGGGTTAACACCCACAAGTATTAACAATCTTTAAAATAAGACAAATATTTACCCATAACATGCTGCAGATTACCTTAAACATAAAGCTTGACAATAATTTTGATCGTACATAGTTCATGGCTACTATCAACAGCTTAAATTGTTTCTGCCATGAGAGGGAATCATGACATTTTGTCTATGACACTCTATAATATCAACTGTATGCTCCTCAAAGTACATCATGTTTTTCTTCTGATAACAGAGCTTATGATTAGCTACAGATATCACTCCATATAAGAACACAAACTGTTTTATGCATACCAGCATCTCATTTGACAACGTTTCTTTCTGATTTCAGTAGCTATAAAACATGGTCTGTAGTTCAAGTCAGGTGATGGACAGTTAGATGGGCTCATTAAGTGTGCTTAAGTAGTTGTCATAAGATATGCAAAGTTTATTAATAAAACAGTATCATTCAGCTTGAAAAAGGTTTCTTGGACTAACTGCCACTTTGTTTTCTATTTTTCTCCAGTCCCTTAACACTACGGGGCTGGGACCTCCAAGACCATCACACGTAGTAAATAGTAGCAATGGAGAGATGATCACTAATAAAAGGATAAACTCACTATTGACTGAAAATATAATCCATTTCTTTGACGGACACCTTGATTTATACCATAGGATCATATCTGCATGACTAATTGCTGTGCACACGGCAACCACACACTTTCCCCACTGACAGAGGTCATTTATACACTTCACCAGCAGCACGAGCAAGCTTGGTTTACCTGCATCTGCTCAAAGGTAAAATCCAGACAGAACAGCATGGCCATCACACACACAGATGCTACTTAGGTTAAGGTAACATTCAGTAACTCAAATCTGGATGAAACAAACACATGGTTGTTCCACCAAGCCAGCCACAGTAGGATACGTGGACGGGACTATGCTAGCCAGGAATCCTCAGTACCCAAAATAAAGCGTGCTCTTGTCATCCTGCAGGAGCTGAGTTGATTGCACTGGTGGTCTCAAATCCAGATTCTATTCAAAAAATTAACTTACTTTACACTTTTTACAGGTCTGTTGTAGTACTTTGATCATTTGAAGACAACTGGTTCTCCTCCATCTCCCCCCATAACCTCAACAGCTGTCTCCATTTTTAGGTTGCGACAACGTTTGCAATGCACCGTCTGCTTTGCACTTAGAAAACCTCCGATCTCAAAGGCTGCTGGAATACCTTCCACAAGGGCAAAATCTTCTGATGCTTAAAAGAATCACCTTGATATAAAAACCCTGTACTTTTTTCTGAAGTTATAGTCTTGAAAAAAGGAGGACAATTTTTTTAATTGTGTTCTTCAGAACATTTCACCTGTCTGGGTTGGCCCTCGATAATCCAGTTCGTTACTGCATAATGAATTTATTAGTCTGTTAACTACAGTCCTGACAGAGATAATGGTCAATGATTGCTTATAAATCCTTTGCTGCAGTGTTTCTTCTGAAGCCTGTGGTTTGTACTGTGTTCTTAATAAAATCAAAGTACAGCAACGGTACAATGAAATAAAGATCACCCGGGCATTCATTTTCAGTAGCTTAAGTTAGCTTAACTGTGTAATAACTTCTTTGAAAGCTACACACATCAGAGGCAAATCCAAGTCACATACAGGTTTAATAAAAAGAATTTAGATTCAGTAATCTTGTCAGCCCGAAGGCACTTGCCCAGGTACTGCTCAGGTGGAGTTTGCTGGAAGTTCTGCAAGTCTTTGAAACAGATAGAAGGATGGACACCACACTGCGAACACCCACTCCCCACATCCCACAGCTTCACAGCCAACAGACCATCTTTTCAGCTGCTGCATTCTTCATTCAATTTTGCATGCAGCAATGACGACACCTAATGGTGGAATTTTTCTTCTTCTAAGCAATATGCAGAGTTTTTGCTTTTCAATGTATATTTCTACTTAATTACAACTTCCTCTTGCACACCACCAGCAGAGTGAACTGCTTGAGGTTTACTTCTACTGTAACAGAGAAGCAGCTTCTTTGCCTGTTTAGTTCTTTCTGACTTTGTACATGGCAGCATCAAAATGGAAACACATATTCCAGATCTAAGTCCAGGATTTAAAGTCATCCCTTTTTTTCTAAGGCAGACTACCTTGTAAAAGCAAATTTCAGTCACGCTGGTGCGAATAATCCCTGCAGAAAGTCTTCAGAAAAGAGGATGAGACATTTTTCTCTAGATCCAATCAACTGCACGCCAGAAAGCAAACACCATGCACCTAGAAAGTTTCTTTGAAGCCTTGTGTCAGCTATCAGATAACGCTGCAGTTGCAGCACTTTTGATACCCAGGGATCTTTTCATCAGAATCAAATGATCACTAATAACAAAAAATAATTTTCTTATTTCCAAAGCTATAAAATAATGTTATTCTAGTATTAATTTAACATTTTAAGTGCATGTAGAGTGTAAAAGTCTCATACAACTCTTGCATTCTGAAATGCTTAAAGTTGGGGGGTTTTTTTTAATCCAAGTACACGTCCAAGCCTTTAACTCCTACTGGAATCTATTTCTGCATCTGGGCTGGCTGGAGAAGGTAATTTTAAATTGTGTTACAGATGCCAGGTACATAAAACCAAGTCTCACTTTTCTCCTGGGAGAGATGTGTATCGCTGTCTGCCCTATTTTAGCTTCCCTGACACTTGCATCTACAGCAAGATAAAGAACAAGGTAACTGTATTACCCAGGCCTGACCTAAATGTGTCAATTTTTTCCAGGTTGAGATAAACACACAGCTCTTAAAAGAAAAGAGTTTAGAGCCTTTGGCAGCTTACTGATTTGTTTACTGTCTTTTAACAATATTATAACACAGAAGTTGTGTTAGATTTCATTCAAGTCTACAAAGCACAGAGCTTTTGCCTAAACAAAAAAAAAAACCCTAGAGATATTTCCATACAACTCAGGAAAAAGCTCATTTTCAAACTATATTCTCTCTTTGTACAGTAACAGTAATTAAAGTCACACAGCTAAGCACCTACTAGAAAAAAATATATATGAAGACAAGCTTCAGAAATATGTCTTTACTGAATTGGCAATTTGTTTTAGATAGTGAGCTATGTAAAAATCCATTTTTTCAAGTTAGACTAATAACTGAATTTTTCATTGCCTTTCTGACCCTTTTTTGTTGGGAGTTCTTTATCTTTTTTGGAAGAACAATAATTACTGCAAACACTTTATCATCCTGGCTTACCTTTCTCACATCTGAGCTCTTCGGTTCTGTTGTCCAAGTTATAATTCTAGATACAGCAAGTCTTGTCTCACTGGAGTTCACAAAGTCTGTTGGATCCATCTGTCTTGCCAAGGACTCAATATACTTCAGGATAGCAACTTTCACCTGAGAAGTGAAAAGGGATTTGCTAAGCTCATAAGCTGGCAAAGATGGATTTAGCCCCTAACAAACAGATACCACTACAGATTGACAAGATTCGTGTCATGTGGGGGAAAAAATATCCCTATGATTACATCTCAATGTCATGTTTCAAAATCAAGAGCGACTTTTTACCCACATGAGTTCTGTGTAGTAAAAGTCTGGAATGCTGCATCAGAACTGGCCTGAAATACCTATGTCTGCCTGTGCATTTGCATAAGGAAATTGGTACTCCACCACGCCATTTCCACCATTGGTTATTGTTACAAATGCCAAACTACTGCTTTTGGTCTCAAACTAAATGCCTGACGCCGGAGTCTCAAAAGATCCAAAATTTGGGAGACTGAAGAAAGAACACTTGAGTCATTTGGCATCCTGTATATTCCTGTGTCTGGAAGATAAATGTGTACTTCCAGAGTGTACAGTATTCCTATAGCCCTGAAACAGCAACCTCCTGAAAAACAGTCTGCACAACAGTGTCCCTTTGGGAGGATTCAGCAACAGAAAGCTCTCTTGGTTTTTTTCCTCCAAACCCTACAGGTGCTACGTCTGACCTGCGCAACAAGCACTTGTTAAAGTGTGCCTGGAGTCCCAACTTCCCAGCTCTTCAGACAGGGTCTGGTCCCTTCTGTCCTGCATAGCCAAGTTTTCTTCCCACCATACCAGGGTGAAGAGGAATTTTCCGTGTCTAAACTTTACTTTGATATGTTCCAGTATGCTTAAAGCACTATTCTTACTGACTAGTGACGAGTTATACGGCCCTATTTTAAATATATTTAAATTTATTATTGTGGAGAACAAAAGAGTTAATCAAAGTTGCTGATATCATTTCTATATCATGCAGGAGTTACCTTATCATGAGGCCTATGCTGTACGGCATGCCTGACACGACAAGCTAAGACACCCATGCTGATGCTTTAGTGAAAAGGCTTTTGATACTGACCTTCAGGTTTGGTGTTTGGGTCTGATCTACAATAAACCTCATCAAAATGTTAAATTGTTGATCAAATGGAAAAGAATCTCTGTCCAAAGAAAACAAAGACAAAAATACAATGCAACATAAGTTTTCAGGACTAAATTCCCTCAATACATTAAAGCTTACACAACAGATTTTAACACCTATCATGCTTTTCTTCTAAACTTTACCATCAACCAGAGAAACTCCACGTCTAAGGATTAGCTGATTATTGATTTACTACTGGAGAAAACTGCTAAATCAATACCTTTATGCAGTGTTACTATATCTTATTTCTATACATTTATTCAGCTTTTGGCACACTTGTCCACTTCTCCTCTATTTCAGGCTGTGTTTTGTTCCCTTACCTCTAGTAGCAGCCTGGTTTATCTTGTCTTCAGAGTTCATACCTGGATTTGACTTCTCTCCTCTTTTTCCCTACCTATTTTCTCCAGGATTACTACTACTTTTATTTTTTAATTATCCTACTTCCAAGATGAGCCGAACTTTATTGTAACAGTGTCCTGTGCTGGACATCCTCAGAAAAGCACATGCACTACAGAATTGGTGGGCAGATCACAGTAGCATTCAAGGTCTTATCCTGACACTATCATTATTTGCTGTTTGAACAACACGAAAGATGCTCTGATCTCTGGGGTAAAGCACCATTCACGCTCTGAATACTGCAAGTATTTTTTTTCCATCAATCAAAAAGAAGACTGATATCTAAGCACATGCACACCAAAAAAATAGATTAAGAAAATTTATCAGTTACACATTTTAAAAGTTGTGCTTTAAAGTTCTCTATTTAGAAATACACGACACTTGGGTTGGGTTTCTAAAATGTGCATCAGATGCCTTTCCTGTAATCGGACAAGAACCTTCATGTTTGCCATCTGAGTACTCTACCTGGTGACATCCAGAGCTTTTTGAACTTTTGCCTGCACAGACCCCAGCAAATCTGCTCCCATTTTCTTTAGCAGCTGGGTCAGGAGAACAAAAAGCCAATCCTGCAAGTCATCTTTATGAATGATGATGAAATCAACCAGGGTTTCCAGAAACATGCTGAACACCTACAAACAAAACAAGTGTCACAAAAAGGAATACAGTGCTCTAAATAAAAATAATCAAAGGGGAGGGGTTTACAATCGGAGTTTCAGGATGATTTGGTTATAGACAGTTTCATGAATGAATGACTTTAGTGACTACATTGCTCCAGAAAAAGAAAAAAAATAATCAGACAAGATACATCTAAAATGTGTAGTATTAAAACATCACATGAAATGAATGAAGGAAGGGGGTAGAATACACTTACTCTCTGTTGTGAATTCCACAGCAAAGCAGGCCATGCAACAAAACAAACCACTCGTTAGCACACATAGTGATCAAGGCTGGTTGTTCAAATGCAGTTTGTCAACAGACAGAAGATGCATTCACTGAAAGTTTACATTTTCTTAAAACACAACCTCTTCTCAGCAGAGTTACTTAAAACATCATATACCTTGGACCAAGACCCAGTCTCCTCAGTCACTGAAGTAACATATGTTTATACATGTTTATATGTAAAAAAGTTTACATATGTTTAACACCACAGCTAAGTTTGTAGCAGTATTTCTATAAAACCAGGGCAGACAACAGATCACTGCTGCCACAGAGGACATACTTGAGCCCAGTGTGCAATAAACCCTCACTTTATTCAGAAATTAGAAATATTTTGCAAACAAATAGCTACACCTTCACCCTTTCCACAACACATACTGCATCTCTGAGAACCAAAACATTAAGACCTTACAGGTAGGAACTGCCACACGCGATGAGGCCTGTGGGACAGCTGGTCCAGACTATAATTATGACCAGAAATGCACACTTTGAGCAAGACCTGTGACAGGCAACTATGACTGCCCAGGGGATTTCCACCTGCCAACCATTTCTTAAAACTGGTTTACCAAGTAGTCTGAAATACAAATATTTATACGACTTATTCTTTCTCATACTGTGCTTAATCGAACAATAGATGTCTTTACCCAGCCATTACTGGTTGCCCTCAACCAGCAAAGCTCCTCAGGATAGGGCATGAAACTCCCATTTCCCCTCTCCCTGCTCCCATTTACCTGCTGGCAGAAGACCACTGGGTCTGAATGTGCCTGTGGGCCCAACCTCCCCATTCCCTAGTCTGCTTCTTTTTAAGAGGTGTCTGTAAATTCATGCCACAGCCTTTAACTTCAAAGGTCAGAGTTATAAAGGCGGCAAAGTGGCTATATTAAAGACTTTATTTATGAGATCCAGAACAACGTCTTGGTGAGGCTCCATACTGCTCCCTGGTGCACACAACACACAAACCCCAGTGACCACGAGGCTGAACCATGGCTCGTTGCCCTTCATGGCCCTCGCTCTACTGTGCATCACCGAGACGACACCTGAAAGGCATTAAGGCTGCTCCTTGGGAAGCAATGAGTAATGAGTTCCTAGCAACGTAAGAGAGACGGAGACACATCCCTTCGTTGTAAAACATATAAAAATCAAGGAGATTTATAAATGCCATTTTCCCTCGGCAGATGGCAGGGGTAGAAATACAAAACGTTCATCTTGGAACAGTGTCAAATGCACACACATGGTAATGTAAGAGAGCGAGCCAACTCTTTGTGATCTTACCTTGCTGTGAGGGTCAGCAAACATGCGAGTAAATATTTCACATAGCCTTTTTAACTCGACTCGGCTAAAATAAATAAAACATGATATTAATGCTAAAGCTCTAGTTGCAGCAAAAAAGCTCATAAATAGTAACAGCTGAAAGATCGAACCTTCTTTATTTAAATGTTAATTAAGTCACACTTCTGTAAACTCTGTACCCACGCAAAGCCTTAACTGGCATTCCAGTTTAACTGCTGGGATCACCAGCTCACACTAAGAAATGTAACAAATATTTTTTTAAAATCATAAGCCAGACACTTGTATTTTCTGCTGCTTCTATTTTCTTCTATCTTCTGGATTGCAGAAGAAAACTCGAAATGTGTGTGTTTGGGAGATATTTACTTTCTGCCTGCATCCAGGTCACTGACTCACTGAAATACGGGTGGGTCTTTTGCAGACTAGGAATAGGCTTCTCATGTCTCCTTTGTGTCAGGGAATTCAAATTTTCCAGTAAAATCAGACCTTCCATGTTGTTTGCATAAATACTAATCATAAATATTTTGGTCTAATTCCTCAGCTGCTTCCCTAAAATCAGTCTAGAATCACACAGTGTTAACGGATACCAGAACAGACTCCAAAGTCTGAGAGCAGGCACATGGAAGTGACAAATACATAGAAATTGAAGACAGATTAACAAGTGGGCAACCTAGTAAGTCAGAAGATAATTAAATGAAGGGACGATCTAAGTTCCTGCTAGTGAGAGATTATTAGGTGCTCAGTAATGCTCTTTTCATGCCAGGGGAAAAAAATAATGTCATGAGTCCCCTTCATAAGATAATGAGCTTGAGTCAAACACAGAACTGTTTGGTGCCAAAGCTCTTATTTGCAATGTATTGAAAATACAAGTCTTAGTTTTTCTGCAAGGCAAACTGCCAAAGAATGCAGAAGTTTTGCTTGCTTACTGTGCAAACAAAACCAGAGCAAGACAGTTAGGTAACATTTCCTACATACTATGGATGCATTTAGATATTTTTCACAATTATTATGTAATTAGAGCAACTAGTGAAATGCACATTGAATGCTCAGAGAACAGCCATTCAGATCTGGACTACAGGTAAGACAGATGTTAATTCTACAACCCACCAACATATCTCCCTCTCTCTCAAAATAAGCTTCAAAGACCAGGCCAGAATATGCTAGTAGTCTGCAACTATTTTGTTACCTTATTTTTAAGTAAGACAGGACATTTTTTCAAATAAACGCACGCATGAAAGGCTGATGAAATTTTAAAAGGGCACAACATCAACGGTCTTAAATGTTTGATGCAGAGGAAAATGTCTTTGTAACAGCCCCACAGCAAGCTGTCAGCTTCAGTCGGGATGAAACCGCGCAGTCTCGAAACAGCTGTTCTACAACACTCTCCTGACCATGCAGATCTGAACTGATCAGAGCTCTCTGAACTCCTATTTATTACTCTAATGAATTTTCTTTCTGGTCAAAGGTTACAAGACAACAGCAAGTATAAGTGTGTCTCTTTCTATAAAAGTTCACGGACCTGAGGTAACAATGCAAGTACTAAATTGAAACAGGCAGTGGAAGAACATTTCCTTAAGGGACTTGCTGGCCTTGTTTTATTTAGAAGAGTTTATGGGGAGCCCTTAGAGAACTACACCACATGAAGCTGTATGAAAGAAAAGAGCATAGGTAAGTGCCAAAACACTCTACATGCACAACTTTCAGGCTATACAAATCCCATCTAATACAGGACCAGCCATCTTTCACTTCAGAATACTAAAGAAAACCTAGCCTCATCACTGCCTTTCATTAAACTTGTTACATCACAAGAGAAGATACCAGGTTTAATTAGAATACAGACAGACTTGCCCCTTGGACTAATGACCTTGATGATGTTCTGCAAGATGCCGTGGGAACAAACAGGATGATAAAATCTAAGCATTAGAACAGGCACCATATCAACCCTCAACCAAGGAGGAAGCAGACCAAAAGCAAACCAAAAGGAAATATAATTTAGAGAACCAAAACCAGTATCAAGTTAAAAAAATAACTCTGCAAGGGTGTAGTTTCTGAGACAGGTTTATAAACTATTCAGGATCAAAGCTAAGTAAACGCGCTAGCTTGAGGGACTAGTGACAGCAGTACAGTACAAAAACTGCAACCAGCAGGACTGAAAACAACAGCTGAATTCTGCTGGCATTTCTGCTAAGAGCTACTGATCTGGATAAACAGGCTCTCACCCAACCTTCTCAGCATCTCCTCCCTTGAACTATCCCCAGCTGCACTCAATACCTTTGTTATAATCCTCACACACCTTTGCGGCAAAATCAAAGTCTCACTCAACTTTTTCATGCAAGCATATGAGATGCCAGTCACTCTCCAGACAGGTCGGTAAAATAAAGAAAAAAGGTAGCATACATGTGGGAAATATCTTTTAAAAGACTCGTAAATAGACCACATCAAAAAATCACTGCTGATGTAGAGAATCTAACTATCCATATTAAAAAAAACTGTAGCATTTCACACTTGTACTGCATCGCATCATGTGAAGTGCTAGAATATTTTTATGATGGCAAGAGAATAACCTTTCCAGGCTTGCTCTCAGTACATTTTCATTCAGTCTGTTAACATGAATCATCAAATATTTTCAGCCAGCAAAGGCCTTTTAAAGTGGAAACAATTGCGCAAATCCGAGTAGGTAGGCTATAAACCATACAACAGCTACTTATAAACTCGGTTACAACTTAAACACATAATATTCGTAACAGGAAAATAAAAATATTGCAGCTATTTGTGAATGGTATCTCCAAAGGAGACAAAAGACAAGCAGCTTGTTTCTAAATACTTTCACCACAAAGTACCGGTGAAAAGGCTTTGGCCTGAGAGCCAGTTGTCTTTTGTTAACATGACCTGTGGCCATATGAAGTTTCCACAGAACTACTGGGTAATTCTAGAATCTGTTTTAATGCGTGACATGTCAAAGGTATCTGAAGGGTCTATTTGGCTTTCAAAAAGCAAGAAAGGTCTGCATCTCCTACCATAAGCAAATTTTCAGAGTTGCTACACCTACTTCATTGCCTTAAGAAACTTCCCTCTACATCCTAAACTACACCTTTTATAGGAGACTGTTTCTGACACAAGATTTCTCAAGAGTTACAAATAATATCTATAATTATACCTAACACAGCCTTCATAAAGAGTAAAAGTACACCGAACATACTGAGAGCATCGTCTGATCTCATCTTTGAAACACACACGCCCTAAATAGTTTTAGAGTAAGTGCAGTGAGAGTTTGCTTCACCAACTAACTCGCCTGGGTAAAAAACACTGAAGGTTCAAACAAGACTAATGTAAAAATGGTACCACCCTTAGAGTGCATTTGCTTCACCATCATTGTGGGAAACCTCACTGTGCTACAGCAAGCACCGACCATAGGAGGTCTTTTATGAGACAGAGGAAGGCTAAGAGCAGGTAACATGCTTACCTGAGTCCTTTCTACATTACTGCTACAAATTTAACTCTAATTATACTGATGACAGAGCAGACATTTTTCCAAAAGTAATTAAAGTCCCACATTGTGGAGACAAAGCCTTCACAACTGTGAAAGATACTATCTTCTACATAAGACAGGTGTCTATTACTGACTTCTGACTACAGCCATCTCTCATGAATGACTGACACTATAAAACAACCAAGGTCACCTCAGTGTCCGCTGGCTCTTGAGTAAGTTCTGAAGACCTATGAGCCCCTCTTTCCTTTCAGACCAGTTGGAGCTGGCACAGTGGTTGAGGACCTCAGCCACATCTTCAGTCTGCCGCAGGTAGTGTGGAATGCCCCCGTTCCTGGAACCATAGGAGCGCTCTGAGCAAGCGCTTGAAGCATCGCTGTTAGCATCGTCATCGGAGTACATCCCATAGGGTTCATATCTTCTTCTCACTGGCTTTTTCTGGAAAAGGGGAAACTAAGACTTAGTGAGGTATATATAGTTACATCAATACCAAAAGAAAAAGGTTCTATCCGTAATGGCTAAAAGGAAGACTAATGCTATTGTTATAGTGACAAAAGTGTTTAAAGATGTCACCAAGCACTGCGTGCTTACCTCTCGCAGCAGAGCACGACAGATCCTATTGATCTCAATGAGCCTATTCGAGTGACTAAGGGGAACAGGGCCTGCCTTCCCCAGCATGAAGTGAAATACTTCTGCCCAGTGGAATTAGCTACTGGTAATGAAATCATATGTTGCTTTATTGTCAATAATGGTCAGTTCCACTGTTAGATTCTATCATGATGCAACCTCTTTTTCAAGAAAAAAAAAAAAGATAAGGAAGAAAGAGCTGAAGGAATCTGTGCTGGCATGCACACTCACTTTGATATTGACAGTGAAGTGACTCTGGAAATGCACTGGGACACAGGAGACAACAATTTCTCTGTTAGTCTGGACTAGGATTTTTCCACAAACTCCTAAAGCAGATGAGCATTCAAATCCCACTCATCTCCATAGCATGGCATTAGAGGACCTAATTCCCTTACGTACATCTTTGACAACCTTGATATTAGAAAGGATATTATAATAATTATGGTAGCAAAACAAATTGCATATTATACTGCAAAGCAAACTCTTAAATGAACCTTAACAGAACAGTATTGATAAGACAATGTATCAGAAAAAGGTCGCCTATATTCTAAAGTGTTTGCTACAGAATTCCTTCCAGTGTCCAGTCCTGCAGTTCTTGGACTTGTGAAGCCAGCAGAGTTTTGCTTCCACTATGACTGCAGGATTGAAGCGTAGAAATTAACTGAAGTGCAGTATCGTGGGCGTTAGCAACAGGGTGGGGAAAGTTGGAAAGTAGAAATAAAAAGTCAAGAAAGCACTAGTACCTTGCTCCTGGAGTCTCCTAACAGCTGTAGGCAGGAAAATATTGAAGGGTGGGAAAAAGCATAGAGAATTATGTCAGAAGCTTATGTAGGGTTTGTTTTTGCAACAAAAACGTATAGCAAATGTGTCTCAGCAAATTAAAAAAAAAATACAGTTTATGCAAAATAAAAGTGGGTATAATAACGCCTGTCTTTATCTCCATATGGTATATGCTACCATATCCATTAGGAAGTTTGGAAGTGAGAATATCTGTTACTAAGGTTTTTGAAGACAGATCTATATACAGTACCTCTTCGCTTAGTTTTCAGAAATGCTGCTCTAGAAGATACCAGAGTTTTTGGTAGTGATTTATTTCCCCACACATTATCAATAGCATTTGATTTTAGAGTCTTGGAAAGAAATTCTGATGTCAGGAAACCACTATCTACAGTACAGCACATTTAATCAACTTCACTTAACCAAGTTCTCTTTCAACCCACAGTTCTTTCACATTTTTTTGAAGCTTAACTTCTTTTAAGACTCCCTGGCTAGCACCCCTGGCTTAAAGGCCTTACTTAACACCAAAGTTTCCATCACCCTTTGAGCTCTTCTGACAGATCTGAGCACTGACTCTCAGCACAGACACTGTGGGTTCAGGCCAAGTCCAGCTGTCTAACAGAGGCAATGGATCCGACAGGAATCATACACATGGAGTAGAGGTCACAAAATGACCCACTGTGCTTTGTTTAAACTCAGTATTTGGCTAAAAACATCTTTGAAGAAGTTCTTTACATTTCCTACTACAGGGAAAAGAATACTCATCCAAAAACAAGGCTGCTGGGTAAAACTGGCATCACACTACTCACTCTCAAAAGGAGCCTGAACCAAGTTTGCAAATTGTCTGTTGTCAGAAGACAACCAAGAAAAAGAGCAAATTGGTGTGGTGGGAAAGAAGGGGACAACAAGATCACGTTGCATCCCCCAAAGTCATCCAAATTCAGGTTGACCAATGTAGGCAGTCTCTCGCTACACTTATAGATTTCCCTTTTAAGTGTTCAAATTTAAGATTTTAGCATTCCAGTACAATGTTATTTAGTTTATAAAAGTGTAATACTTAAAATGGAAATCTAAGTCTAGCTGAAGATTAAGTCACATCCAAATACTTCTCGGTGATCACAGTGGTGTTTCAATTCACTGCTAACCTCTCCTCCCCCAACAAACCTGTATTCAACAGCCACTAACATTCAGGAATACAGTCTGATTTCATTTATGCAGGCAAACCAACACTTCTAATTATGCCCTGAACTGCTCTAGTGGCAAACTTGAGGTTCTGAGAGCAGGAACCACTTCACAAGCTGTTGTATTTGATAATGAAAATGCCCGCTAATGATTCAGCCCACTAAACACAGCAGTGCCCTCTACAATATACTGTCCTACCTCTATATTGTTCACAAGTACCTCTATTTTTTACGAAAAGGTAGATTTTGTAAAACAACATTTCTCTAGGAGTACTCCAATAGTCATCTAGAAATAGAGGTGACATGAGCTGAGTAATAATCAAATATAAAAAAGAAAAATTGTTAGGCATCCTTAGGGAAAGTGAACTAGGAAATGAAGAAAGGGCACCTCAAATTCTGGGGACGTGGTTCATTTTCAGTAAAGCGAGATCCAAGACATCTGCCTCAGATACATCAGGAAATCCTCCCCTCAGCTCAGGTCTACAGCTGGAGAAGACCCAAAGTACACTGGCACCCAGGTAATGCTGCACAATAATTGCTCCTGCCTCTGTACATCTTTTCTCCCCCCAAACCCTAAAGTAAATCCAAAGGGTTATTTAACACTTGTTTTCTGAATAGAAGACGACACTTTCTGGGTTCTACTCAAGATATATTATAGCACAGCAAGCTTATACAGGACAATAAAATTTCAAAAAGTGACAATAAGCTTACCTGGAAATGCACTGAGTATTTAGAAACTACAAGGAGCACACTACACAAATACATTTCAATTGAACTGCATGAGATGGTACCAGTTACAGACAAGCCAAGTTATGACCTGATCCGAGTATCTAGACAGGTGCAAATCACACAGGGGAGGAACTTCTGAAATTCTCAGTTCTTGTTGAAATCTGATCGGGAACTGACACCAATGGAGTACACTGTTTTTCTGATAAAATCCTCATGCAGTTAATGAGATTGATGGAAATCCCTGACCCCGCCGGTGCCAAGCACCCCCACAGTGCCAAACTCATCCAAGTGAAAGGCGAACAGCTGATTCAACCCACCCTGCAAGTCCTAGCACCAAGCCACAGCGGTCTGTTTGATAACAACTGTGGAGAGCTAACACAGAATAAGGACATAAATACTGCTGCCAATACACCCAAAGACAAAACAACAACAGGTCACTAACTCTACAGCATCAGGCACTGGCACAATCAGAACAAAGCTACTTAGAAAGAGGAGAACATACGTACAGGTAACTTTAAGCCACTTTCCGGTGTCGGAAGCATTTTGTATTTTCCCTCTTACCAGTGCATCGGCCACAGCAGCCTCCAGATCTGTGCTTGTGCTCAGGACTCGCATGGCATTCACAGAAGCAGGCATCCTGCCTGGCTGTCCGAGTCCAAACCGGTCTGCACAAAAGACAACATTGAAAGGGATTGTTCAATTAATTCACATTCACTTGGAATCCTAATCAGGTGCCCAAGCAGCTTTCCCCACAGGCTCTGGGAACTCGCAGTGCTTTTCCATTACACACTCTTTTATCCATAGCTCTAGAGAGTCTGCCATTAGACTAAGAAACAAACTATTGTTTGTAGGGCCCCAGAGACAATTTTGGATCCTCAGGGCAACTTTTTTTTTTTTTTAAGCTGGTAAGCAGGGTATCTATTTTGCATTTCTTTTTACACAGCGTTAGTTTCCAAGCTTTATTTTAATGTCAGAGGCAGACATGCTGGTCCCAATCTGGCACTCTCAGAAATCAACAGAAAGCTTCTCATTAACTTCAGAGAGACAGGCTTGTGCCCAGTGTCAGAACATGTTAATACCTGCGCACTCATCCACCCTGCAGCTTTTTCTCAGGCAAGGATGTGAGACTCGCAACACCAGATTAGCCTATTTTATGTCTCAAGGCTTGATTAACCAGTAAAATATCCCCCTACGCCTCACAGTATAAAAATAAGGTTTATCATTTGCTTGTGAAGCGACTCCTATTTTTGTTTTACTACTGTTCCTGAGAAGCGATGCAAATGCCATTTAAAAGCTCTATGATATATCCAAATTGATGCTTTTTGATCAAACAATATCATCTTTCCCCCTTTGAATTTGATGGCAAAGCTCTCAATGGCATCCAAAGCAACAGGCTTGGGCCCAAAACGCCATTTACACTCCTAATACTAATTAGTTTACTTCAGCATTTGCCTAGTCTGCCAAAAAAGTTACTGAAATTAGTTTGTTTGGGCAAAAGCCATGCTAGCAGGAATATGACAGAATCAGTGACTTGAACATCACTCGCCAGGCTCTTGCAGCACAGTCCTCCTAGATGGGAGTAGATCAGATACCACTTTACTGGGATCCCATCTCCAGTCTATAAACTGCAAGAGACTGGTTTTGGCATTCCAAGTTTTTGTTTCCACAGGGGCTTGTCTTTGCTCAGGAAGGACTGGGAACATCCCTCCTGGGACATTGCACCTCTGTCCCTCGTGCCCACACGTGCCAGTAAGAGTTTTGTCAGCAACTTCAGTGGTGCACGGACCCAGCTGCACGAACCCACTGAAGAGACGTGCAGCCAGTGCACACTGGAGGCAGTCATCGAGCAGCAAGAGACGGGGATCAAGTCACACAGGTCTTTTATTAGTTTGTTTATATTTAGTTTACAAAAGGAAAAATACTGTTTATCAAAATGTGTAACTATATAATGGATTTCCACAAAACTGAGGTCAAACACTATATTCGGCAGCTTACTGTACTTTTTGGGAAAAACTCTGCGCTTGTCACAAAACTTCATTGCTTTCTTCTTTAAAAACCTACTGCACTGAAGTATCTTTTAAGGAATTAGCTCACACTGACACACGTAACAAATCAGAGACTGAAGTTTGCCAGTCTACTGTCCTAATTCCAAAGCTTTACCCAAGCGTGTCAGAGATTAAGCTATCGAGGGGAAATAGGGAAAATTTTTTAGATCTGTAGTATTTTGAGAAAAAAACAAACCTGAAGACTAGTATTTATTTCAAATAAAAGTGTTACCTATCAAAAAATACTGTTTCTCGGAGTTAAATACCCAGACAACACATTTCTGATTTACAAAAGCACATTTTCTACAAAACACATTACAAGGGAAAAAAAATAAACAAACTTCTTAGAACTACTGCCAAAAAGTAATCAAATCATGACATTTCACAAAGAAATAAAAGTTGTATGTGTTATTACTATCCCCTTTTTTAATGCACTTCGATCAAAGAATCATTTCAAGTATTAGGTGAAACACTACTTCACCCCTAAGATAGAAAGATCTGCACACTCTTAATAGCAGCACAGAGAAGATAACAATGCATTAGGTCTGATTGAAACTAAAGTCACTACTACAGAGATATAGACTACAAAGATATACAGAAGACAAGTATTATTTCTAAGTGCACAAGATATCTGGTACAGTGTAAGAGCTGTAAATGTTGAGATAAGTTCTAGAATTCAGTTTTATATTTAAACCCAACTCAACGGCGTTACTCAAGTGTTACTGAGATCAGAATTTGGCTTTAAGTTTTGAAATAACCAAGCATCAGAGAATACCATTGTCATTTGTTTTCACATTAATTTAGTATTACATTAGAAAAGGGAAGATAGTTTGGGTTTTTTTAAAAATGAAGAACAGAATGACAAAGTAATTCAGTTGTAGATCAGTTTAAATACCCAGCATAAAGAAACAAAATGGAGCTTTTTTAACAACTTAAGTACAGTGTGGCATGCTGGCTTTTATCTGTCTCCATGGCTATCTGGAATTTCCTCAAATACTTCTTTAAGTGACCTTTAGATTCACAACACCCAGGTCACTCTGGACTTCTCCCCAAGACACTGCTGGTGTACCTGAGTGCAGCAGTTAGACCTTAGGAGAGACCTCGGCGTATCTCTAATGTGGGGCTGGGAACACACATGGCTCTGGGAATAACCAGTACAGGCAAACCCAGTGTTACTGGGCAGGAAATAAGCAGCGTATGCTCCGGCCAATGGTCCCTTGTCTCCCTGGCTACATTCATTATACTTGTTACAAATTTGGTGAAAATTCCCAACCACCGTTTTTGGACCGACTTTGCCATTTTAAGAGAGATTTTGGCCTGTTTTAGGACACAGGTAACCATATAGAATTTGATTATGCTTTGTACCAAACCACAGGAGCCAAGCAGGAAGTGACTATCACAGGAATTTGAATGCAAACAAAGCTTATATCGGTATTACAATTGAGGAATTTTAAATCTTTTCAATTATTTTTGTTCAATACAAATTCAAATTGTTACTTTGAAAAATGCCAGTCAAATCAGCTTCCATCATTTCTGCCAAGTAACTTTATAAGGGAAATGTTTTCAGAGTTTTAGTTAATTGACAGCCACTTAACTAGACTTATGAGAAACAGAGTACTTCTCACGCCCTACCTTACACAATTTTGGCCCCCAAGAAAACACTGAAGCTCATTATCCACATCATCTTTGTGCCCATAATTAAATCTCTGTTGTCCCACGATAGTAGCCCTCATTCATTTAATTTTAAGAACTCCCAGTGAAATATCCCAATTTCAAAGGGAGTTACAGGTTCTCTGCGACTGCAAATTCAGCACAGGGGTGGGGAAGAAGCAACTGGAATCTGCAGATTTTTCACATGACATTTAAGCATTAGTCTCCTGATGCAAAGCCCAGAGAAATTAAGGGAATTATTTTTTCAACAACTTCCAGATCCTTTGGACAAGGCCTTCAGCATTACTTGAAGGATGGATCAGCACATGTTATACTCCAAAGTTCATTTTGAAAGCTCATCAGTGCTTAATTCTTGCTGTTCTTGTGTATTTTGGAGAGGATCCCACAAAGAATTTCCATTAACAGAGACAGAAGTCCAGAATATTTACTAGTAAGTGGGATGAAACCCACTGGGATCCGGTCCTAGGCACTGGAAACTGCTACACTGCTAAAGAGTAAATATAAACAGGATTTAGCTCATGCTGCACAACTGATCCAATTTACAGGAGAACTGAGAAAGCCCTGGATCACCCTTTGTTTAAACACTTCTCAGTGTTCCTAAAACACATAAAATCAAAAACATCCAATAAATGAAATTCAAAACAAAAAGCCACATCGAACAAACAGAACAGAAAGCCCCACAGCGGTGAGAAGCACATGCCAAGTGCTGGCTGATGCACATGACGGCAAACGTGAAGATGGTGTAAAACAAGACTACGTATAAGAAGCAGATTCATGCAGTTAGCGCTTGTTCACCTGACTGCCCAACAGAATCAGCAGTGGAGAGAGCACTAGTGGACCTGGAATGACGTCGAGAAGCTGCAAGTAGAAGGAACGGCAACACCCACAGGATTAACACACATTTAACCCGAGACAGAAAATGCCACAATCCAAAGGGGATGCGTGTGACCGCTACCGGTAAAGGTGTTTCATAGTGACAGGGAAATGACGCTGTATATGAATGCGTAACAGATACAGTGCAAGCCCCACAGCGACATCTCCATCTGTAGCTCCCCCCCCTTCCCCCCACGACCGTAAACATGATGCATGACAAAACTTATTGGTAACAGTCCCAAACCCGGTGCAGTTCAGCAAAAGGACCCAGTGCACATCAGCGACGTTCCAGACCCACAGATCTGGAAGACGGCCATCACGAGAACGAGGAGCACATAACCACAGAGCAGGATTTAGATGTGGCTGATCTAAACCCCAAAGTGGAGCCATGATGAATGGTTAGGAATTGTGTTTGCAGGTATTTTTTCTTAACATTCTAGCCTATGCACAAAAACACTCCAACATTAACAAAAAGAACGAGTAACCACAGAAGTAGAAAGAGTCATACAGGGAGGTTGGCCAACCATTGCATACAGGTCTTGGGTTGAGTTTTTTTTCCAAGTAAACACACGTATACACATTTTGTAGCTGTCACTACTACCAGAAGTCTCTTGCTTTTAACAAATCTTGCATACATGTTTCTTGAATCCAAATATGTACATGCACAGATAATCTGCATATGCACATCATACACCTATCCAGAATTACACCACATGTATACAAAGTGTTAATAGCAACGGAACACACACAGTAGCAGAAGAGCTGAAGCCAAATATAGCTCCCACTTCAATTTCTAGTTGTCAGCAGCACATGAATCACAAAATGCCTTTGGAGAGGGTTTCAGTTCTTGAGTTCAGCATAAAGGCGAGTTCTTTATCAAAGCAAATGGACAGCTGGTCCAGCCATTTCCAAATTACAGAAATTTAGTTTTTCTAAAGAGGTTTCCCCTGTGCCTAGCAATGACATGCTCACCTAGCTTAAAGCAACTGACCCAAGAAACTGATAGCTCATTTGAGCAATTCACCACCGGACTCACTGAAGGCCTTGTTGCTTTAACATCATTACTAGTACTGTCAAGAAACTGAAAAAATAAAGCAGGAACACCTTCTAAAATAAACTGGCTTCATCAATTATGCATATATGGGTGCAGCAGAAAAATCTGTACATCTTCTGTTTAAGGCAACGCATTCATAAACACAAATACTAATATTAGAAAACAGAAATCAGCAAAGTGAGAAAAACAAAATTTAAGTTTTTTCCCAGCTGTGGGAGCTTGACTAAAAGCTGTAGAGAATACACAATGTAGTCTTTAACTATGCAGAGCACATGCATTTATTCAAGAGAACAGTCCCACTGACACTGTAAGTAACTCATGAAAGATTTGCAGGATCAGTGCAGAATTATGGACTGAACCTCACAATTGCTTTCTCCCAAGCCATCCGCTGTGCCCCTGTGGATGTCACTTCAAGATCAAGGTCCATGAAGAAACAGGAACAACAATTAAAAAAAAACCCCACACATTGCTTGCAAGGAGACTGAGTGTAGAGCAACTCTTCACTGGTGTTTCCCAGCTGAGGAAGCAAGATGCTTGGTGCACAGACATGCATACCTGCACAGCAGCCCCGAAACAAAGCAGAGCAATTTGCAAGGTCAGGATGTCAGTGTTGACGTTGACCATAATACCATTAAATGCAAGAATCCTGTCGTTTCCATATAGCAAGTTTAAGTACAATTCACTGATATAGAAGTTAATCCTTACAAGCAAAAATAGACCATACACAGTAGGATTATATTATCTTAGCATTACTGTAAGATTACCTGGGTTCTAGAAATACTCTAATAGAATCATACTGTTTTGGCTTAAATTGACATACATTTCTTTCAGATAAATTACACACTACATGATTAACAAGTTCATGAACATGCTCGAGCTTAAAGCATTTCCATGAAAACACAAGAAAAAAAGACAATAGGATAACAACTGTATTGAGTCACTATTACATTGATGCTTCTTCCCTACCTTAACCTCAATGACTTTTAATATTTCTAAAAATGCATTAACTTCAGCTAATTAACTATCGTTAAAGTGGCATTACCTCCTCCCCTCAATAGCGTTTGTTACAACCAGTGTAAAAGACATCTGTAAATGAAATTTTATATTCAGTATACGAGTCAGACTCAGTGGTGGTGGTGGTGCACCAAACTCACACCAACTGATTCTGATATACTGCATTTATTTTTCAGGAAAACGGCTCAAGACAATATTGCAATTAATGTATTTTCACTAAAATGAAACACAGCACAATGATACAGAACACTGACAAGTTAACCCTGAAATCCAGCCTGGATAAACACTTTGGTTGGAGAAAATCATTAAAATTGAAGCGGGACAGGTAATTAAAAATGAGCTGCAGTTGCATATTTGCTATTCTTTTATGGCTCTGGTATCAAATCAGCTTTATTTAGTCAAGAAAAAGTTCATCTATTTATCTTACAGAGCTATGAACCAAGTTCATAGAATGTTAAGTTGAACTGCTCTCATTTTTCACCAAATTTGAGATATTACAGATAAAATAAATATATTACTTTAAAGCTCACTACAGTTTAAAACAATGAAGTCTTGAACCCAGAAGCCTCTCTAATATTAACTCAAAGATTCTACAGCATTGAAATCAATAGTAATTTTGGCAATGATTTTGTATGGATGAAGACAACAAGCCTTTGTGTTTGAAATCGAGATGAATAACCAAACCAATAATGACAACAGCTACGTAAGTTGAAAAGATTATATAGAGTATCTTAATCAAATATGAGAACCAAACAGGAAAATTTTGTCCATCTGTCCATATTTTTCATAACCTTTTCTCACAATTGGATTAAAGTTGCAGAATTAAGTCCAGAATGCTATGTTCCACTTACCCACTACTTCAGATACCTGTATTTCGTCACTACGTGCAAAATAGATCCTGTAATAATAGGATCAAGTTCTCCTGCCTTGATGAAATCTCTAAGAGCTTTTTTCCTACTTTTAACACCACATGCATGGCTATGAAGCTACTACATAAATGAAGAGGGCCTGGAGATCAACAACATTTAATAATGTCTGAGATGACAAACAAATCTTTCATATGAGTAATGTATTTGGTTGAATACATGATATGGTATTTGATCAGAAACATTAACTATCCTGCTGTTTTCAGCCTTGTGCAGAACAAAAAAAGCTTCTGCATGTGGTAAGCGTAATGAGATTTTTCTGTTTGTGCTGTACACTTAAACTGCATGACAATGATGCTCGTCTAAAGCCTCCACCTTTCCATGATTTTAGGCAGCTTGGAAATTTCATCCAAAATGGAATGTGCAACTTGATAACTGATGATTGACAACGTTGTGTAAAACCTCTACAAAACAGATTCTATATCTATTGGAGGACTTAGTATAGAAGTGATATACTGTTAGTGTACCTAGCTGTAAGAAAATCAGACCATGAATAATTAGAGTCACTCAGCAACAGGCTAGGATGCCACCGACTACTTCACTGTGACCTAGAAAATAGAGGCTTGCTCTCCTGCAGATTTCCATCAGTGCTGTAAAGTGAAGCACGGTGGCCCCATATAAACTGATATAATGAAACTGAAAATTACAAAAGTTCAAACCAAACTATTTTCCTGCTAACAGTGAAATGCTGAGAATCAGAATTGAAGCATGCAGAAGAAAACAGAAGGGAAACAGGGTTGGAAACAGGGAGCGTGTCAGGAATCCAACAGAGGACAGGAAACAAGCTCATTCCACCTGGCAGTGTCTTGAAAGTGCAATCAGAACAGGGAAAAGGAAAAAAAATTGACCCTTAAAGCTGCAATGCCTACATGTACTCACCAAGTGGAGGAAAGCCCCGAGCAGGGCTTGTATCTCGACTGCTCTCACGGCTGGTATCACGGCTGCACCCCTGACTCATGCTGGGTCGGGGGATACGACTGCTCCGTGCTAGCATGCAGCATGGAGAGTTTCAGAGAAGGTGAACAAGTTTAATGAGGACAGAAAGCTCAAAGTCAAGTCACATTTCTGTTAGTTACGGTAATTATTACATTAGTAATTACAATTGGCAGCAGCCTGCTCAGGCTCTTTACAAACCAACTACCTTACACGCTGAGCTGTGTTTGCGATGTGAGATTTCAGCAGCATTAAACGCCTGGTTGACAGTCTGCCTTTTTCTTAACCAATCCAAGCTTTGTTATTCAAGTAGAGCAGGAATCTTCAATCATTTAGGGGAGCTCTACTCTTACAAAACATGCAAAACAGATGAGGCTGAAAGAAACCCTTCTGGAATATTTTTTTCCTTAATTATAAGATGAACACCCTTCTGGAACAAAACAGCAGCGTTTTTAACCTGGTCAAGATTTGAAGTAGTCACAATACCAATATGCTATTTTTACATTTATTTGCCTTTCACAAAGATTGTTTTGCCATGAACTAATATCCTAGGAGAAAAAAAGTGTATTGTACAGACTTAGGAAAATATTTTTCTCCAATGAAAGACACTGAGGAAAAAGCTTTTAGAACTTGAACACCTGAAAGACAGGTTAAAAAGTGGTTTGAATTTTAAGACAGCAGCAGCTTCAGATCTTTAACAGAAGCTAACTTCTGCCCCTCAAACATTCCTAAAACCTTGTATTTATGGTTTTATATGCACACAGATTAAGACACATGGGCACTTAAGGGGAGCTTTAAACTATATTCTTTACTTTGACAAAACCCTACATCAATAAGACTCGTATCTTTGGTCTGGCAGCTATCAAGTACTCAATTTCCCACAGACTCGTAAGGCTCCTGCCTATCAGCTGTATCACAGGAACTCATCATATGCACGCTCTTCATTTGGCCAAATGCAAAGTCGAAGATAGAAGATGAACCTGTTTTCAGAGTAAAAAGCAATCCCACTGACTACAGCTGAATTTTTGTCCAAGTAAGAAAAACAGAGCTAGGCCATTAGAAGGCTGCTTAACATCAAGGATTTGAATTTTTTTATTTTACAAAATGAGCATTTTATGTATTTAAAATTGGATTATTCCTCTGCAAATTCCATGTCATTTTGATATGAAAGATGTTTGCAGAAAGTTATTTAATAAGCTTTACGCCCAGTAGAGAATACAATGTTTCTTAGGTAAAAGAATAGCAGTTGTCATGAGTTTACCCTGAATAATTTAATGACTAAGGCGGGATTTCCTTTGCTATTTTGAAAAGGCAGTAGCATATTTGAAGTGTTCAGGAAAAGCCTTTAAGGAATTTTCTCTTGCACAGAGTAAAATCTAATCAGCTTTGATGACAATGTAGCAGAGGCATACACATAATGTGAACCTGCTCTATACTAATACTTTAACAGTATCCTCACATTTATAAAAATAGTGCCATTTGTATGCTTCAGAATATACATATTCTTATAAATCTCTATTGGTTTGTATACAAAACTTGAATGCCTAGACTCAGGCTAATGAAGTTCCCCCTACAGTGCTCCTGTGGGCTCATATAAACTGGGTGTAATAGTATCCTTTCAAGCAAAACAGTACAGAATGAAATAGAAACCTTCATATTTAGGCTTTAAAATTCAAATATAGACTACTGCCAGATTCTTGGTTTGTCAAATCCCTCCTAGTTTTGCAAAACCCAGCTCCTATCTCTCAGATGAATTAATGGTTCTGATGGTTGAACTTCAATGTCAGAGAATACAAGATGAGATACTGACCAAGTTGATTAGATCACCAAAATGTCTAAAACTTCTGTGTGAGTTAGATGGTCTTCTAATAAATAAAACCGTTCTATGAACTGGATGAAATTAGGGTCCATGAGTATAATAATCCCACCTCAGGTGTACAAGGAATTAAACTGACAGGTGAACTGGAGGTGAAAGTAACACTCAAGTCTTTCATACAAATACTTGCTTGAAATTGAGTACTCTAGAAGCAAACTTCTCATTCTTGGGTCTCATGCTTCTATGTAAATAATGGAGCCTTCACATCAGCTTTGCACAAGCAGTCATTTCTCTTAAGAAAATCCGTATTTTTTTTCTATAATACAACCCTGCTAAAACCAGCAAAGGCTCTTTAGAGAGGGAGAGCTATGAATGATTAAAAAAAAATTCATGGATGCACACATTACATTCTCCTTCCATAACAGCTAACAGCAGCAGCATGAAGTATGAAGAAAATGCACTTTAACTGCATGAGAACAGACTAGTGGGACAATGCCACAGATGATGCACAATACTGACTGCACAAATGCAGCACCCAAAACCAAACACTGGGTACTTCATGAGCAATGGTCAAACAAAAGATTTGCATGTTACTGGATACAAATACAAAAGCACGTAAAAAAAAGAATGGACTGAAAAGAACTGAATGATGAGCCTGTTGTGGACTCCCAGGCACCTGCCTCACATTTTTACTGCTGTGTTGTGTAGAGCAGACTGGATATCAGCTGCTCAGAGTATTTTCTTCGGGCACTGCCAGCAGTGGTGTCATTTAGACAAGTCTCTCGTGCTGTCACAGCCTGTCTTCGCAGTGCAGGCAGCGAAGGCAGAGAAGACAGACATAAGTCTCAATTTCAGAATTCCCAACCCCCAAAAGTTGGACAGAAATTAAGTAGGCGAGCAGCAAAATTGATTAAAAGAAGTAGACAGGGTGAAAGCAGACAGTGTGCCCACAGCCAGCTCTGGACTGAGAGCCTAGGTAAAGACAGGGGTTGGTTGTTTGTAATAAAATCCCAAACTCCTAGATGTGTCCTATACATCTCAGTTTTACCAATTTAATCTGGAAAGTCAGAGCAGCTGGATATGGTTCACACTATTATTAAAACACACTATTAGGCTGTCTTATACCAGTGGTACCCAACAGATGCAAATACCACCAGCAAAACTCGATACTGCTCCTGTTTTCACATCTCCTGCTTGGAAGAAACCTGCATTTCATTAGGGTGTGATTTTTAATGATTCTTAAGTGGAGAATGAAAATCAGCAGACGCTTCCTTTACATTAATTCAAGCATTTTAAAGAGCCTGTAAATGCTGCCAAAACAGCCAAAAGAAAGCTCTGCAGTGGGGTACACCCAGTAGAGGCAAGTCAAGAACTGCCTTCAGCTTTCCAATAAACACACAGAGCACAACCCAACAGAAAGAACGCTGCTGAATGAAACCAGTAGCCAGCTGTGCCTGCCCCACTTCTGGGCGAATGACAATCTCAAATCTCTCACTCCTTTCAGATCCAGCTGTGCCACATGCTCTGCTGACCATCCAACAGAATTAACTTCAAGCAAATGAACTTCCAATCCATGGGAAACAGACATCACCTTTTTTGATGAGCTCTCCTTCAAGAAGCCCAAACAAAAGCTCAGGATACAGCACACTATACTCTTCCTTCCCCAACAGCGTATGACTGCTAGTAAATCTCCACTGAACAGAAAAAGGCAAGCCTAAAACTGAACAGCACCAACAGAGCAGGGCCATACAGGCGACCAGGCAGGACCTCAGTGTGCTAGATGTGCCTCGTTGTGCTGTCTCCTGGAAAACAACGTACTACTTCAAGGTTTCCAGCACACAGAAGGAACATACTTCATGGATACCTGTGGTCATCATGCAAATCTAAGCTAGCAGCAAGGTACTGATGCTAACGGGCATCCACATGCAGAGGCTCTGCTAACTGGCTACTGCCCCAGAAGGGCCTGAAAAACTCCAGTGGATGGGTCCTGTATAAAGCCCAACTGCACACAGGGACCCGCGCTCTGCGTGCCTTATCTTGCGCACACAGCACTGGTCCGGCTGCAGTTCCCAGCCACCCTGGCAAAATCCACATAAGTCAACGGATGAGTGGTGAACAGGAACCAGGAATTACCCATTTCTGACAGCCTGATCTGCACGATGGTTCAACACCCGCTGCGCTGCAATGTGACCACAGACTTAAGAGATGTTTCAGCCTGTGGGATAAGCACATGTGTATCAAATACATAAATAATCCCACAAAGTCTCAAGTATTACATGTACATTCAATGTCATATGTGTGCACAAGTACCTTCTTCAATCAGACACTGAAAAAGTCTCTTGACATCTTTAGGAACAATGTGAGAGGGAGTCTATTTAATGAAATGAACAAATAAAAAACATCAAGGAAATATAGAGATGGAAGCAACACAATAAGAAAGCATAAAACACTGTTAGCTACTATGTTATAAAGTAGTAAATACAATTGAATAATGGTATAAAGATGGCAGCTCAAAAGCTATCTCCACCCAAGCCAGTATTACCATTTTCCAGATCCAATAAAGAGAATTTCTGCAACTGCATAGTAAAGGCAGCACAGGTGTCAGAATCTCCTGCTCCCATAATAGCCCCAAAGAACAGGCTGTGGCCATCAACCCGGGGGCGGGGTGGAGGGGTTGGAAGCCACAGATCCCACAGATCTGTCAGAACTCTCTCCCACTCCCAAAGAACAAGCACTGACTGTGTTCACAGCTAGCATGTCACAGCAATGAGATACAAATTACACTTTCAAAAGAATTCAAGGCTCCTGTAATATACCTGAAAGCAGGCAACCCAAGAGTGAGGATTTTAAACAAGGCAATTTCCCTTCAGATGCTCGAGGCTGTTTCAAACCAGACCACATAATGTGATGACCAGCTAAAGCATGTGTGATGGTACTATCCATCATTCCTTGTTTCCTTCTAAAAAACAATGTTGTTCTGTGCAGTGACAGCAGAACAATTACCTCTAATATTTAGGAGGCACTTCACATTTTAAAAGCAATGAACAGAAGAGCACTATGTACTTCTACAGAGGCCATAAATAGATCAGACATGAGAAGAATATTGAATCTGGAAAAACAATCACAATGAGCATGCAATATTTTTTATGAAACATAACAGCATATGCACTCAGGTTCTTTAAAGCCATTTCAATACACTTCAAGAACAAGGAAGATACTTCTCTTAACATACCCTAAATAGAAAGGTAGCATAAGTGTAAAATACAACTGCTAAGGTAACAGTTAAAAATTAATTGACAACAGTTGAGCTGTAATTTCAGCTTACTAGCAAATACTTTGGAGATAAAAAAATAATTTAGTAACAGTATTATCGAAAGTGTTCTTCCTCTACATAAGCTTCGAGCTTATGAAAAAATTTCCATTTAAAAATGAAAACAACATTTACTTGTTCAGACAGCACATCAAATACCTTTTCACCTCAGATACACAAAAGTTTATATATAATAATGCTTACTCACCTGACTTTAAAAAAATGAGTCTGCTGATAAATTTGAAAATAAAAACTATTACAGAATACTTACACAGTCATTGACAAGAATATTGGAAGCAGAACAACTGAAGCGTAAGTCTAAAACACCATCTAACAATTTGCTCCAAGGTATTACAGATGAGAGAAGCAAACCACTTAAGCTGCAATATTTCTAAAATAATCCAAGCAGGGGCTTTTTACCCTTGATATAAACTGACTGTAAAGATTGCTCCGCTCATTTTAGGAGTAAGCCATCGATGCCAAGTGAGGTATTTTCGCTGTGATGGTTACTCCCGACAACTGTTATTGCTGCCTGATCTAATAACATCGCTCATGTTGAATTTCAAAGAGAAGACATCTCATAACATCCTTAGGCCTACTTTGAAACCATAGCTCTACCTGGAAAATTAAAATTACTCTCCTACAAACCACAATTACAACTTGCCAGCTGAAAAAGTCAGAATAACGACAGTAACACATAAGCAGTTCCCTAGTCAACAGGGAAGTCCTTCCTTCACGCATGCCGGTCAGCATGTCACTGCAGTGACTGTTCTTACCTAGTCCTATTCTGCTGGGACTCGTCTCTCGGCTGCATCCCTGGCTCCGAGGGATCTTGCTGCGCTTCTCAGAAGATGATGGCACTGGCTGGACTCTTGATGTTCCACTGCTCAGGCCACCATAGGCGCTTCCTAACAGCTTACCCGGAGAACTAGACCGGCTACCAGCTAGAAAAGAACCAGAAATAAGGACAAAAAACAATTAAAAACTCCCAAGATTTTAAATACTCTGACAGCAACACTGGAACACTATGAGCTCTATCTAAGAATTTGATCCAAACCAGTCAGAAAACTAATGGAAGCGTTCCCCATGGCTTTCGACGAAGACTGAGGAAAGCCCATGGACAATAAACAGTGACAAGAGCAGCGCTGCCTATATTAACCACACTGCCCATCTGGGATCAAGACCAAAGCAGACACTGCAGTGTATGAATACTCCAGCTGGCTTTATGCGAGCTTGCAGAGGTGCCAGGAGCAGCCTTGCTGCAGCAGCATGGAATTCACAGGCTGCTTCACCTCCTCGAAGCAACACAAATCAGCCTGTGTGGAGAACTGTGCAGCAGCACTCTGGCTTCTAGAACAGGTAACCTGCTGCAAAGTAGCTCCGGCATCTTCATACTACACTGCAGTGGTGGCATTACTTTCCTGCAATAATTCAGTAAAGGAAAATTCAAAAAAATATTGTCTCAGCAGCAGCAAATCAGCACATTAGAGGGCAAACCAAGCAAGCCTGTCACATTTGCAGAGATGCTGGCTTACTTAGGTCCGTTTGGTTAAACACAAGCTCTTTAGTTATTCTTCAGCTAGAGAAAATTTTTAGCAAGTTGAGTAGCTGGCCTGGTTTATTTTTTCTTGTCTCTTTGAATAGTCCAATGCAAGTTTACATTTCTACTAAACGATGTTGTCTGCAAGACAGTCTACTAACCAAGATTTATTTACATTCCAGCTGCAGCAGATATTTCTATCCGAAAGTCTTGCTGTTTAATTCAATGAGCTGAGTAATACTTTTTTTTTTGCTGTGGATCTTCATTTGGTAAGTTGATTGAAAATTAAGTAATGCTAGCTTAAAGGTAATCACAAAGAACTGTGAAATTAATAGATTCAAGGCTCTTTTTTCTTCTGTGGATATATAGAAGTCACTGCTGCTGATATTACCATTCCTGACATTCAATTGTTTGTTAAAACATCCAGGAAAAGTACGTTTGAAAAGGTTGCAAGAATATACTCAGGCAAGCTCACTTTCTGAACCAATATTCATGTTGGTTTCATTCTGAAAAGTACCTACACATCTGAAATATTTCAGTTCCAGATACTATTACAACTAGTAAGAATTAAACATTGTTCTTCTGTCTTAATTTAAAAAGATATGCAATTCTATTAATCTCATGGACAATACCATAACACATGTATTATTTTAACTTACTCGCCCCTCTAATTTCTTGCCCAAAGCCATACTGAATCAATCAAATCCTATACTCCAATACTGCACGTGGTGCTGGCTCACACAGCACACCACCCTCCCCACCCCTCCCACTCCCCTAAAAGTGAGAATACTTGTGACAGATGCCAGTCTCACACACAGCATCCACACCCTAAAAGCCGAGACTCCTCTCAGTTACGCTGCTGCAATCTCATGGTGTCAGTAGGGTTGCACTGAAGTAACTAGAAGAAGAATTTAACACCTGGTATTTAAGATGCAGCAACGAGCCAGCTTCAATATATAGAATGTACACTTACCATGTTTAACTACTCTGAGAAAGCAAAATAACTTGTCATACACAACTGGATTTATGACTAAGAAAATGCTTTTTACGTCTCATAGTTAGGAGAGGGTGAGGGTAGCTAAAAGCTTAGCAGTTAAAAAACAGGTGAAGGAAGTAACGTGAGAAAGCAAGAAAGGGAAAACGTTTCTTACCACCAGCAGGATTAGCTGATCTGGATCCTTGATTATGAGGGCAGACCAAAGGACAGGCAAAAAGTGGATTAAAAGACAGCAAGACAATACAGCATTCAGCATGCGGTTGATGCTACACACAATACAGACAGATTTATTTACCAACGTGTCACCCAAAGCCTCTGCAGAATGCAGTGAGTTAATGTGCAGATGCGACTAACAATTTCCCAAGGTTGATCAGCTTCTCATCTAAATGTCAACCAGCACACCGAGACCCAAGTTCTGTTCTAAATTACACCACAGCCCAGTCTGCAGAATTCCAATAGGCTTATCCACTGTGTGGGCATAGAGAATTTGGTCCTGTGGTGTTGTTATATTTGAATTTAGAAATCATTTTGTGCAGTGTTTAGCTTAAGGATAAAGATCACATCTGGTTGAGCTAGGCTGGAAACAGGATTCAGCAAACTAGACCAAGGCAGCAGGTTCAGATATGACCATCCTAAAGCTTTGTAAGGCATTCTATAAAAAATTAAGCCCATAATCTTTGAAACCTTTGGACATTCAACTATTCTTTAAATATTTCTGAGACTTGTCTCATCTGGTCTGATCGTTTTCCACCAAACTAAGTTTAGGAAAAAAGTCACTTCTGGCTTTGGATTAATTTTTGGTTCAAAAATGAAGAAATCAATTTACATCAGCGTACCAAAGCCCAAATTCCTTCATGACCTCAATCTAAAGATTTCCATTTGGCCCCATTCTGAATATTTCTCTCTTCAGCTCTCCTAGACTAATGCAATGCTATACACTGCTGCTCCATCCCTCTAGCACGACACAGCAAAGCAATGAGAGCATGAACAGAGAAGGGCTTTCAAATACAGGTACAAAAACAAGACAAGTCCTCTGAACAAACAGGTCTTTCCACAGACCCCATCTCTTCTTACCCACAAGCTTGCAGGTCCTCAAAGCACAAGCAGCTTTCTCCCTCCCCCAATTCCTTTTAAAGTTTGAGTGACAAAATTCTCTTTAGATACACTTGACAAATACGTAGCAACACCATATGTACGGCTCCTGGGGGAAAGCCATGCCTTGCCAGGAAGCCACAGAGTGCAGATGTGTCGTGTGGATCAGAGAGCAGAACCATCTCCCCTGTATCTACACAAAACAGGTAATGTCCTATTTTAAGTTTATGCCAAATCCCATTAACTTTAGTCAGCTCATGTGTTACACATACAGAAATACAGTCACATAGGCAGGAGAAGCTTGGGAGGGCAAGAACCCAGGACAACAGTCAGCTACAGACACAGAGGGTGTCTCAGTGGGACTCAGTGCAAGTTTAGTCCTACACATCATTGTGACATGAAATTCTGCTGCACAACTATTAAAAAAAGGCAGCAACTAAGCACTCAGATTTGGTCCCTATTTGTCAGCAAGAGCACACAGTGGCTGAGCAGGTATTCACTTTGTTACATGTCCAAATGTTATTAGCAGAAGTGACCCCAATCCTCAGCTGATGCTACTACAATTCAAGGGAAACATATTAATAACTATACGTTCTGCTCCCCCAGAAATAAAACACTTCTTACGCTGGGACTGGGAAACTACTTTAGCCCGGCTGCGGCCTCGGGTATCAGCAGGCGTTGAGGTGACGCTTGTGGCACTGCCAGAGCTCTGTCTCCTTGTACGAATCCGACCTGGAGGAATGCAAAGAAAAATCAGACTGTCAACAGGTTTCTTCCACAGGCAGCAGCAGCATCTAACATGCTGTTCTATGCTCGCAGGGTTGCTACACACTCAATTAGCCAGGTACAACAGAAAAGTTATACAGGGAGAGGCAACACCTTTCATTAGACTGGCTGAGATGCAGGGCAGGGAGTAGAAACAGTCACGGTCCATGAGTCCAAAAATCTCTTTGCTTTCTGTAATGTCATCAGCCGGTTTAACTGAAAAATATTACCTCTCCATAGCCTTTGCTTCTGTTCTATAGTAGCTTCTTTACAAAGAATCAACTTCCTAAATCCTTCTTCCTATATCAAATTATTACTTTCTGACAAGGCGATCATTCTTTCAGAGGTGGGTGTGACAGATGCCCCCACAAATTCCATAGCTGAGATTTCCAATTAGCAGTTCGGTGCTTTGTATCCTGCTCTACATGTGCAGGCTGGCATGCACTCCTGCAAGAGTCTGTCAGCGCAGCCTGACTACGCTTTTATTTCAGGCTCATTGAGTTTTCCCTGCTGTTTACACATCCCTCATTTATCCCAGGATCAGTGTAACTTTACTTGTAATGGAGAGTCCCATTTAACACAATCAACGTTGTGGAAAAATGATTCTGTGTGTCTGCTCTTTACTTAAGTGGAGAATGGATACAAAGTCTCAAAGTGTTCTTGGTCCTTTTTCTGTCCTTTCCTCATGAAAAAGCCACAGAAATTTGAGCTAGACAAGCTTACAGGGTCATCAGTTCATCCCCTTCCCGGGGCAGGGCTGTTTCCTAATGTTCTTTCCAGCGCTAAGCTTCAATTATCTGTCTCTAGTTAATGGGAAAGAAATGATAATTAAGAGCAACACAAAGAAAGACTCCATTAGCACTTTTCAACAACTCAGTTCTCGTCCAAATCTGAAACTGTTTCTCAGGACTAATGCCATCCTGCATTCAGAGAATGACTTCAAGTTTCAGGCACAATAATAAAAGGAAAAAACCCACAACAGGGAAGAGAAGAGTCCAGACAACTGCACCCACCAGTTATAGATACTAATCTCCTGCCCTTTGTCTCCACTATAAGCATACAGAGAAATTTGAACAGGGAGATATACGCTTCCCACCCATGGAGGGGGGGGGGGGGGGGGGGGGGGGGGCATGTGACGAACGGATTGAGAGCTCTGTTCTTCTCTGAGCTCTCAAAATATTCATAACATGGTCTGCAAAAGTTTCTGATCAATACAAAGTGACAAGGAGATGTTTAGCTTTGAGAAGAAAGCCTAGACTGGTTTTCAGAGGAAAAAGCCTAGAAGACAGGTGTACTGCAGACCTCTCCCCCCACATCTAGTTTTAAAATAGCTCAGTAGGCAAGATACAGAGCTACATTCAAATAATTGTTGGCAGACAAGACACAGAAGAAATCATTAGCATAAAACTGGGAAAATACAAACAAACCACTTTTTAACTGCTGCCTCAACTAAACAAGCTCTGAGCACATCCACATGGGTCCAGTCATGAAACTGGCTGCTCAGGTCTTCTTACCACCAACAAGGCTGCAGACCTCCTCTGCTCTGGCAGGCTGCCTGCCCCTTACAAACGGTCAGCCTGATGCACAACCCAGAGATGGCTCTACAGCTCTTTGCTGGTGCGCTCCCATCCCTTGCAAGATCAGCACATGCACAGCTACACACCAAGGAGCAAGGCCACTGCGCGACTTGCCACAAGGTGTGCACCCCAAACCCCACCGCAGGCTTCAAAGCAGGCGTGTGTGAGGAAGCAGGCAGCAGGACCTCAGACTCTTGTCGGAAGCCTCAATGCTTCCTTTGAATTCCCACATCAGGAGGACATGACTGGTGGCAGCAGGAGTACAGTGAGAAGAGAAGGTAAACCTGACTAGTCTTAGGAACCAATAACAGAATTAACTTGCATCCTTCCAGAACGCCAACAGAAGGCCTTGACTTTGCAGAAAGTCCTGGGAGGGTAACTCAAGCTGAAATTCAACATTACGCACAGTAACAGACAATATTGAAAAACACGATGTGTGGGCCAAGGAGGAGTGAGAAGGGACTGATGTCTTCTCTTATACACAGGCCACTCTTAAGAGCCTCAAAATTTTCTGTTCTTCCTACATCTACAAAACCTTTTTATTTTCCCCTTTGTCAGCAGCTGACTGAGAACAAGGAGAAAACTTGGACGACGGGTAATAAATAAGTGACTCTTCTACCTTAGGAAATACAAAGCCTAAAACAATACATAAAGAGAAATCAGGATTAGCTTCTGATACCATTTTGGGGGGCTTTAAGAAAGAAAAGTGAACCAAAGGGTCAAACTCATCTAATGTGATTATCAAGACTGACCAAGCTGCGTGGTGCAGTCGCAACACTGGAGGGAGGGGACGCCATCCAGAGGGACCTGGACAGTCTTGAGAGGTGGGCCTGTGTGAACCTCGTGAAGTTCAACAAGGCAAAGTGTAAGGTCCTGCACTTGGGTCGGGGCAATCCCCAGCCCAAATACAGGCTGGGTGGAGAATGGATTGAGAGCAGCCCTAAGGAGAAAGACCTGGCGGCGCCGGCTGATGAGAAGCTCAACATGACCCAGCAACACGCGCTCGCAGCCCAGAAGGCCAACTGTATCCTGCGCTGCATTGAGAGAAGCGTGGCCAGCAGGTCGAGGGAGGTGATTCTGAAACTTTACTCCGCTCTGGTGAGACCCCACCTGGAGTCCTGTATCCAGCTCTGGAGCCCTCAGCACAGGAAAGACAGGGACCTGTTAGAGCCAGTCCGGGAGGCGTGGAGAGTTGGCGCTGTTCAGCCGGGAGAAGAGAAGGCTCCGGGGAGACCTTATAGCAGCCTTCCAGTGCCTGAAGGGGGGCTACAAGAAAGCTGGAGAGGGACTTTTCACAAGGGCCTGTAAGTGACAGGACAAGGGGTAATGGCTTTAAACTGAAAGAGGGCAGGTTTACATTAGATACAAGGAAGAAATTCTTTGCTATGAGGGTGGTGAGGCAGTGGAACAGGTTGCCCAGAGAAACTGTGGATGCCCCATCCCTGGAAGTGTTCAAGACCAGGTTGGATGGGGCTTTGAGCAACCTGGTCTAGTGGAAGGTGTCCCTGCCCACGCCAGGGGGGTTGGAAGTGGATGATCTATAAGGTCCCTTCCAATCCAAACCATGCTATGATCAGCAGGATTAGAAACAGAAAGCTCAGTCCTACTTTGAAACCCTCGAGAGTCAGTGGACAGATTCCTACCAACTTCATCAGTTTCTGAATGAAAGAATGCCCAGGAACAAAACTCTGCTTCCTTTTGGGCTGGTAGATTTGCACACTGATTTTGGCCTAATGGGTGTCAGAAAGAACAATGTGGGATGAAGAGTTGGTCTTGCACAGGAGGAACAATCCCAACACTGATACTGGTTTTCTCATCCTAAAAAGGTTGACAAGTGTTTGAACTAACACTGCACTGGACTTGCATTGTGCAGATGGTAACAGGAATAGCAGAAATACAAAAATGATGTACTGATATGAATATTGCGATAGCACAGTAACAGCTCACCCTAGGAGTACTTTATTTTTTAAAGTCCGTGGGATAAAGTAAAACATGAGGAGAAGAAAAGGCCTCTCAAATTCAAGGTCTAATTCTTCACACAGAAGGAAAAAGTGCCATCTGACACCAGTTATACATATTCCTTGAAGCACAAAATGTTAATATACTGTCCAAAGTTTTATTTTCTGAACTTTAAAACATATGTATTTATTTTTTCATACATTAATCTTACTTGCAGCATTCAAACAGTTCAAAACAAGCGACTCAAAGCTACTCATCAAGAAAAAAGTTAAGATTCTAAGTTTTTCCTATCCAAGTACAGTTTTTAGCTATAAAACAAAAAATGACCAACTGGAACTCAACTGCTTTATGCAAATCTGTACGAGATAGAAAACTGGGAGAGGGATCTGGGATGTTTCTTATGTTAACTGATCTTCACACACAGGCCCAACTTTTAAATTAGTCTTATGATATCCAAAACCTATTTGCTTTATAGTAACGTAAGATGAATCAATAACTGTCTGGCTTGAAAATCTCAGGGTTTTTAATATATATCATACGAAGTACAGCATGTATATATAGAAGTTCATCTATAAAATACAAACATCTCTACTACATTTCCTTAAGGGTTTCATCTGCAAACAAGAGTCTGAATTCTCATCCAAGAGTTATTTGCACATAGGACTATGTGTGGCTTTATCCCTATGAATCTACTCCAGACAGAAAAACTAATTACAAGACTGTAAATAACATATCAAATAAGTTATTCAAATTTTTTTTTTTAAAACTCAAGCAAACACCTCCCCTCCCGAAACTTCTTTGCTTTCAAGTGGGTTTGTTTCCATATCTAGCTCGAACTGCAGATGTAACAATTCATATTTCATAACCATTACTTTTCTGCTCCTCTTAAAAAAATTACTGCATCCTGACAACAGCAGCACAGCAACGGAATAGATAAAGACCGCGCCAACTAGTTTCCACAAACCATAAAAGTATTTCCATAAAAAACCCCTTGATCTAAGTTTGACATGTGACACTGCTGTTGGTACAGAAAGTATTTTGAAAGACTCCACATAAATGCTTTGTGTTAAGAAATCACTTGGGTTTGTTTTTTTTTAGGGGGGATTGGTTTTATTTTTTAAAGTTACTGTCAGTTTTTACAATCAAGGGATCAGAATCAACCTTGAAACATCTAACATATGCCTAAAGCTAGGAAAGTTGTTGTGTTTTTTTAAAAAACAACAAGAAAAGAAAGATTCTATGATAGTGTTTTTATGCTACAAGAGGCTTCATGCGGCAGCACTATTCTGAGCTCCTCTGGGAGGATACTGCAGCGTCTCCATCCCCAGAGCTCAGAACAGATACAGGCTTTGTGAGACCCAGCCTGGATATTGCACTGAAGAACTTGGCTTTCAAATAGCCTAGAAATGGTCTATAACAGCTCCGCAACTG